CCCCCCCCACTGCCACCCCTCTGTGCCGCCAGGTCCCCAAGAAGCTGGTGAACTCGGTGACGGACTGCGCCGACGACGCGCTGGCGGGCTTGGTGGCCTGTAACCCCGGCCTCCGGCTCCTGCAGGGACACCGGGTAGTCCTGCGAGCCGACCTGGTAGCCATCCGGGGTCGGGTCGCTTTGCTTTCCGGGGGGGGCTCCGGCCATGAGCCTGCCCATGCAGGTGAGCTCCCCCCTGCCACTGCCGCGGGCCGGCTGCCCCCCGGCACAGCCCCCAACGCCCTGTCTTGTTCCGTAGGGTACATCGGGAAGGGCATGCTGACCGGCGTGGTGGCCGGTGCCGTCTTCACCTCTCCGGCCGTAGGCAGCATCCTGGCGGCCATCCGGGTAGTGACGCAGGCTGGCGCAGGTAGGATGGCGTGGTGGGGTGTGGGTCAGAGCTTCGCCCCCCACCACGGCTTCACCCCAGGTTCGCGCTCCCTCTTGCCCCCCCCCCCCCAGCTGGGACCCTCCTGATTGTGAAGAACTACACCGGGGATCGGCTTAACTTTGGGCTGGCGCTGGAGCGGGCGCGGGCAGAGGGGGCCGACGTGCAAATGGTGGTGGTGGGGGACGACAGCGCTTTCACCACCTTGAAGAAAGCTGGGCGCCGCGGGCTGTGCGGCACCGTCCTCATACACAAGGTCCGTAGGGTGACACTGGTGCCCAGGGCCCCCACCGCATCCCTGTGGGGACGGGGGATTTTGGGAGATGGGGCCCGGTGGTCCCTCACCCGCTGCTGACCTTTGCAGGTGGCGGGGGCCCTGGCCGAGGCGGGGGCGAGCTTGAATGAGATCGTCGAGAGGGTGTCAGCGGCGGCTAAAGCCATGGGTATGTGTGTGTGGGACCCCTTGGTGCCCTGTGGGGACCCCCAGGGTTGCCGTGCCTTGTCTCCCAGCCCCATCCCCGCCATCGCTCCTGGCAGTTCACAGCCCTGGGGCAAATCAGAGCCTCCCCATGCCCCCCACCAGCCCCAAATCCCCCTAGGCTTAACCCCATCTGCCCTCCCCATGCAGGTACCCTGGGTCTCAGCCTGTCCCCCTGCAGTGTCCCTGGGTCCAAGCCCACGTTCCGGCTGGCTGACGATGAGATGGAGCTGGGCCTGGGTAAGGAAATTCCGCCCCCCCCCCATGACCCCCCCATGCCCCGGTGGGGGCTGAGTGCCCCCCTGTCCCCCATGGGGCAGGCATCACCCAGTGCGGGAGGTGCCCGCAGCATGGGCTGATGCTGCCTCACCTCCTCAGGAATCCACGGCGAGGCAGGTGTGCGCAGGATGAAGGTGAGCAGGGACCTGCTGTGCCCCCCCCC